CTGGGGCTGAGCAGAACAAGAATGATCCCTCTTCCCCGGACAGATTTTCAACTACTTGGAGAGAGCTGCAGAGAAGCCCATCCTGAATTTGCTCCTTTGGCAATGCCCATCCTAAAGCATGGCCCCAAGAACTGGCCACAGTGCCTCGGATATGTTCTGACCAGGACTGAATTCCAGTGAGGAATCACCTTCCTCATTCTGGTCCTAAATGTAGCTGGTGGCACAGTGGGTAGCCTGGAGTCAGGAAGACCTGAGTTCAAATCCAGCCTCAGACACGTACTAGCTGTGTGACCTTGGGTGAGTCACTTAACCTCTGCCTGCTTCATTTTCCTCAACTATAAAATGGTGACTACTTACCTCCCAGAGTTGTTCTGAGGATCAAATAAAGTATTTGTAAAGTGCTTAGCACAGTGCATGACACAGCAAACACTACATAAATGCTAGCTATTATTAGCTAAATACTACCCGAGGTCATTATTCTTAGGCAGCCACATCGAGTTTCTGATAACATATCACATTGAACACAGCACACAAATGTTTCTTTGAATTCCACCTCTTGACTACCCTGCTTTCCTGACACGACTACTGACATACAGTCCTTGTAGCATGCACCTCTCCCAGATCCTGCCTTCCCTGGGACTTCACAGACATCCTGACCACCCTGGGCGAAGGATCTTCCTAGGCAATATTAGTAAATAGCATCCTCATAGATTAATACTTTGTGATCTACAGAACGCTGCACCATACGATTTCCTCACATCTCAAGGGACTCCTGGCGAGCATCCTTGTAGTGACATTGTCAGAGCTGAGTTCTGGGAGGAAAAGAGAGGTAGGGGGCAGCTGTGAGGGTGAACTCAGTCAGTAACAAGCCAGTCAACAGACGTTAGGCACTTGAAATGTGCCAGGAACTAAGGGTAGATACTGAAGATCCAGAGAAATGCAGAAATCTCTGCACAAAGGAGCTCAAATTTCTATGAGGGAGGCAACACACAAACAATTCTGATGTGATCTATACAGAGTAAATTGGAGATAAGCTCAGAGAGAAGACACTAGAACTAAGGCAGATTTTGAAGGTTTCTGGAAAGGAGGAACTTAGCTAAGGCTTGAAGATGTGGAGGGATATAAGGCATAAGAAGGAAAATAGTAAGGGTTCAGGTTATGCAGGACTTTAATTAATATCTTTTTTTTTTTTAGTGAGGCAATCGGGGTTGAGTATCGGGGTGAGTATCAAGCGTCTGAGGCCAGATTTGAACTCAGGTACTCCTGACTCCAGGGCCAGTACCCCATCCACTGCACCATCTGGCTGCCCCTATGCAGGACTTTAAAAGCCAAAGACACTTATAGTTGATCCTAAAGGTAATAGGGACCCACTGGAGTTTATCTTGAATGGTTGGGAGTCAAATCTATGCTTTAGAAAGATCACTCTGGTAGCTGAGTGGAGGATGGATTGGAGTGGGAAGAGATGAGACTGGAAGGCTAACCTGCAGGGTATTGCAATCATCCAGGTAATGAGGTGATAAGGGACAATGCCATTGGAGCATCAGAGGAGAGAAGGCAGCATACACGGAGATGCTACTAAGGTATGATCAACAGAACTTTGCAACAGGTTGGATTTACTACCAGCAACTCTGCTTGGTTTCAACCCCATCATGCTCCTCCCAAGATAAACTCGCCAGGAAATTTGTAATCATGGAGATTGTCTTCAGCTTTGCTACTCATACCACCATATTAGCACCCTCAGTTCCTTTTGACTCTGATTGAAGGGTTGGAGGATAGAACAAAAAACTCCTCTCATAGCCTCCCTATGGGCTTCCTTTGAGCTATTTATAGAGAGGTCACAGTACCAGCCATCTCTCCATATGCCACCTAGGTCTGCTAGGTTTTGGCTCCATCATCTTCTTCGTGACTTAGCCCAGGTACCATCCGGCACTTCCCTCTTACCTTTTTAGCTTCCTTTTGTGGGCTGTCTTCCTAATTTGACTGTGAGCTCCCTGAAGGCAGGGACTGTCTTTTTCTAATTTATATCTTCAGCACTTAGCGCAGTGCTTGGCACACAGTAGACTTACCATACTGTGTTATGTGTGTGTGTGTGTGTAGGGAGTCAGAGTAAAAAGTTGAGGATGATAAATTATAAGCCTGAGTGGTGGAAGATGGTGGCTCTTGACAGTAATAAAGGGGAGGGCTTGGAAAGGAAAAAATAAGTTGTTTTGGATACTTTGAATTAAAGGTATCTATGGGACATCCAATCTGAGATGTCCAGTAAGTTGGAAAAATGAGTTGGGGGGTTAGGATGGGATAAATAGATCTGAGAATCATTTTAAGATTACCATTGAAGCCCTTGGGAGCTGATGAGAACACCAGGTGAAGTAATAATAGGAGAAGAGAAAAGGACCCAGGACAGAGCCTTGGGGGACACCTACAGTTAGTGGGCCAGACGCGGATGGAGATCCAGCAAAGGAGACAGAGAAGGAGCAGTCAGACAGATGGGAAGAGAATCTGGGATGAGTAGTGCCTGGAAAACCTAAAGAGAAGAAACTATCAAAGAAAAGAGGGTGATTGACATTATCAGAGGTTGCAGAGACATCAAGAATGAGAAATATTGAGAAAAGGCCATTAGATTTGTCATCTATGGGATCACTGGTAACTTTGGAGAGGGCAGTTTCACTTGAATGATTAGGCTGGAAGCCAGACTGCGGAGTACAAGGAAAAGCAGTGGAAGCACCCAGTTTGCACAGAAAGAATATGAAACACACCTTTCAGGGTAGCCGGTCAAGGAGTACTGTTCTAATCTACCATCTACACTATTCACTTGGCTTGTCATTATATTAGCAGTTACTTGGATGAATGCTGGAGGGATCATTGCTTATCAGATTTGCAGATAACAGGAAGTTGGGAGGGAAAATTAACAGGGATCATTGCATCATAGATGGAGAGCTGGGAGAAACCTCAGAGGCCATTGAATCCAAGCCTCTCCTTTTACAGATGAGGAAACTGAGGCCCACGGAGGTTTAATAACTTGCCAATAACTCACCTTGTGTCCAAGGTGAGATTTAAAACCAGAACCTCTAAATCTAAAGTGATTTGCCTAAAGCTCAAGGCTTACCCCCCCCAATAATAAATTCAGGGCTTCCTATTACCTCTAGGATCATATAAAAACCTTTCTCCGGCATTCAAGGCCCTTCATAACCTAGCCCTCTCCTAGCCTTCCAGTCTTCTTACACCTTACTCCCAGGCACATTCTCTTCAGTCCAGTGACATTGGTGTCCTGGCTGTTCCACAAACACTGCACTTCATCTCTCAGCTCTGGGCATTTTCTCTGACTGTAGCTCATGCTTGGAACTCTCTCCCCCCAACCTCCTCCTCTCTGACTACTGACCTCCCTGGCTTCCTTTAAGTCCGAGCCTCCTAGAGGAAGCTTAACCAACCCCTCTTAATTCCAGTGCCTTCCTTTGGTTAATTCCTATTTATGCCAGACTTAGCTTGTTTTTGCTTTGTGTGGGCTGTCTTTTGCCTCTTTTTGAATCCCCAGTGCTTAGCACAGTGCCTGGCACATAACAGGTGCTAAATAAATATCTACTGACTCAATAATCAATAAATATTTACTAAGCACCCAGGAGTGCCAGGCCCTGTGCTTAGAGCTGGGGATACAAATACAAATGAAAACACGGTCCCTGCCCTATAGGAGCTTACAATTCACACACCAAAGGAAGCTGAAAAGCAGGGGGGAGGAAGGACATAATGGAAAGTTCCAAAGAAACCCCAAAACAACTTAGCTGGTGGCGGATGAGGGAAAAGAATGAGACTGCCCTAATAATTATAATAATAATAACTAACACTTATATAGCACTTACCACATGTCCAGAGCTTTACAAATATTATCTCATTTAGACTTCACAACAAACCCTGAGAGGTAGGTGCTGTTATTATCCCCATTTTACAGCTGAGGAAACTGAGAAAGTCAAGTGACTTGCCTGGTGCCACAAAGCTAGTTAGGTATCTAAAACAGAATCTGAACTCGGGTCTTCCTGATTCTAGGCCCAACTCTGTACCACTTAGCTACTAAGGGGGTAGTTGTAAGGAAAGCTTCTTAAAAAAGAAATCTTAAGTCATGTATAAATGTGAGTTTTTTAAATATAATTTTAGGAAGCACTGTCATGAACTGACTGGAGTAGCCTTATGCCTGTTGTCAGGAAAAAGCTTCCTGACCATTGGATTTTGTCAGGATTCTTAACCTTGGAGCCATTAATTCATCCTTTAAATATATATGTAGCTTTCATTATCACAATTTAAGATTTACAAAGATCTTCATGAATATTAACTCATTTTATCATCACAAGCCTGGAGTAAGGTGCTATTATTATCTCCATTTTTCAGATGAGGAAAGTTAAGCAGGCAGAAGTTAAGTGACTTGCCCAGGGTCATACTGCCACCAAGGTTTTTAGGCTGGATTTGAACTTGGGTCTTACTGATTTCAGACCAGGAGCTCGCTCTAATTGTGCCTCTGAATTTCAATGTAATTGGTGTCCTTTGCAATCCTTATATATAATTTATGCATTTAAAAAACATGATTTTGAGAAGGGGACCATAATGCAAAAATGGTTAAACACCTTTGAATTAGAGCCATCCCCAAATGGAATGGGCTGCCTCCTAAGATAGTGAGCTCCCCGCCATCAGAGGTCTGCAAGGGGCCCTACGAAAGAGACCGGCCAGGCCCAGGTGAACGACGGCCTGGGTTTCTCGGTCTCCCCGGAGGGGGGCGAGATGACGAGCTCGTGCCAAGCTGCATCTCGCGGCCTCTCTCTCCTCTCTCTCAAGGCGCTCTACCCTCTCTCCCAGCGCTCCGCCTCCCTCGTGCCCCTCTTTCTTTGTCCCGCCTGCTCAGAGGCGTTAGCCTTTAGTCTCAGGCCGGAAGTGGGTTCTCGGTTATTCTCTCTTCTCCCTTTCCAAGGCGGAGCCAATGACCTCTCGCGAGTTTTCCACCAGTTTCACCTTCCGTTACGTCTGCTCGGAAGAGTTCTCACGAGAGTGAGCAGAGTAGTGGGAATAGTGAGGCGCGCGCGGCGGCCGCGGCGGACGCAAGATGGCGACGGCGACCATTACTCTCGTAAGTGAGCCCCTCCCGGAGCGCAGTCAGCGGCGAGATGGGCGCGGGAAGGTGGGGGGAGGGCCGGCTGAGGGCTCGGGAAGTCCATGGCAGGCGCTGCCTCCGTGTCCGCGGGTCCGTTGCATGGATCTCCTTCATCTCTAGCCTCCTGGAGACGGGAAGGCGACGGGGGGGGCAGGGCTACTGCCTTCCCGGCGGCGGCGGCGGCGGCCTGGAACTACTACGCCCAGACTTCTTTGCGCCGGAGCGCTCGGGGCACCGAGTCCCTGTCATCCGCTTTGCATGCCGGGGGTGGGGGTAGGGGTGTAGTTTTCGCTGGCCATCGCGGGGCATGCTGGAGCAAGTCGTGCTCTTCCCCCCCCATTGCATCCTGGGACGGGCATCGGACTCTAGGGGCGGGGTCCAGTGGTGCATGTTCCCGTCCCCCTTACCCCATCACCCCCTTACTGTCCCGTGTGTGCCTAACAGCTTTGTCTGTGGGATCCCAATTGCATGTTAGAAGGATGCAGTGGGGATGATCTTGTTGAAGGCAAGCCACTGCCACATGAGCAAAGAGGCTTGAAAGAGGGGCTTTCTTCTGGCTGTTTTCCCACCATATGAGCCCAAGAGGGAGGCAGACTGGCTTCCTTCCCCCACCTAGGGAAACCAGGGATCCCCAGCAAAAGATGTGAATTGGCCGTGTCTTATCAATGTAAGCAGTTCAGTTCAACATATGTGAAGTGTGTACTTTGTCCAAGTCCCAGGAAAATCAAATGAAATTGGTCTCATGAAGCTTAGGGTCTAAATGAGGTGTTATGACATATGCACACATATGTGATACGAAAAGTAAAATGAGATAGGGGCAAGGGGCAGGTCGTTCGAAGTGCTTTATGGAAATTGAGGAAGGTGAGTTCACTTCACAATCCAGGAACAGTGGATGAAAGAGGTGATATCTTAACTCAGACATTTATTTCGGATAAAAATTCATCCATTGATTTTTGCCTGTCCTTTCATATATCTTCCACGAAGTAGCCATCTACCCAGAGGATTAGAGGCCTTCTTCAAGGTCTTTTGATATTTGCTTGATAGTTACAATTTAGCATATGTTTTTATTTAATACTTTGCTTTCCACAAGTGTTTGGCTCATCTCATGGCTAGAAAAAGTCATGCGTTTTTGATGTCTTGATGATGTTACTTCCATAAGCCAAAATCTGCCTGGCTAGAATTTTGATTCTTCTAGTCAGTCTTAACAGCATCACTTGGAAATGCTAGCTATTATTACTGTTGAAAATCAGGCAGTAAACAAGGGTTTATTAAGGTCTTACTATATGCCAGACACGGTGCCAAATGCTGGGACTCCAAAATACAAGCAGAAAGAAAGTCAAGCTCCTGGAGCTTACATTCTAATGATGATGACAACACATGAAAGGGGGTTGGTGGTGGTGAACAATGGTACCTGGTGAGATGTTTGGTAGAGAAATTATTGTGGAGACAATGCGCAGTGCTGCCCGGAGAGGAATGAAGGTCATGATGTCCTGGACTATTTGGGAGGAACCAGTTGATCAAAAGTTGGTGGGTCCTCAGGGGCAGAGAGCACTTCCGATGTGAAAAATATTCCAAGTAGAGTGAGCTTCCTGGGTGAAGAGGTTTCTAAGGTGTGATAGATCATGCCTCCTAAAACTCTTCATCTGGAAAGATCACTTCAGCTCTGAAAGTCACATCTTGGGAAATACCTTCAGCTCCTGGGCTTCTTTCTCTGGATGACTCCTTCCAAAACCTCTAACAGCTATCTCTTCATTTCTTAATAGGCTACAACCTAGACTTCTCCATTATGCCTCTGTTCCCACTTCAGCTTCCTGTTATGTGTTGTCTTCCCTCTAGAATGTATTTTTGCTTATATTTGTATTTCTAGTACCTAGTATAGTTAGTGCCTGGGCACACAGTAAGTGTTTAATAAATATTTGTTAATGGACTATTGAAGAACGCAAACATAGCCTTTGTATTAGGAAGCAACTAAGATCACTAAAAGCATTGAGCATTTTCCTGAAAGCAATCTCAGGTCGATTTCTTATTCAGTTCTAGGTGTGTACTAATAAAATACATGAGTAGACTTCATTAAACTACATGTTTTAATCTGGACAGTATTCATTTTTCATCAACTTTTTTTTTCCTGGTGTAAGTTGCTAGTACCCTTTACGTCATTATGGACTGCATTGAAAAAGACCTTTAGTATTCTGGATTACTGGATACAATTAGCGTATCATTTACAAACAGGAGCATCTGGAGAACATTATCACTTAGGGAATACATTTGCTTTGAATAGGACATCCACTATGATGTTATGTTTATGTCACCCTGTTTTATTCCTCACTTGCTAGGTATATTTAGAGAGTCAATAAATTTTATCTTGATTGACAGTGATGGAAAAGGGGATAAATGGTCCTAAAAATCATACAATTTTTATTCATCCACTTTGTTTTTTCCGTGTGGATTTCTAGACCAGCCTTTTTGAGTGTTCATGAATCGTATTGAGAGGCCCTCTTTAGCAGATAAGCAGATCTTTAAAAATTTCGCCTTCTATGTAGAGAGGTCTTCTGTTTGGATTATGCCCATGAGAGAGATGCATACTGGTGGTGAGCATGTGTTTCTCTTTGTTTTATACCTTGTTTGATACTATTCTGTACACAGAGGATTTTAAAACAAAGATATCTTTTTAGTTGAAGTTATTAAGGGACCTTGAATAATTTCAGATGCACAGGGGAGGCACCATGTTGTGATTGAGGCTTTTGTTCTACTAAGTCACTTTGCTTTTTTGTAATCAAAAGATTTGTTTCCTATATCTTAACTTTGTGATGGTGAAGATGTGGCCTGCTTCAAAAAAAGAAAATAGCCCTCAAAAGTCAGGTTTTTCCCTTCTCTTACTTTCATCTGACATATCCTCAGTATCTGTATAAACCATTCTCATAAAAGTTTTGTAGATAAAAGATCATCATCTGGTTTGATAGTTGTTTTTTGGGTGGTGGGTGATATGGTCCATGGTCTTTTTTATTCTTTAGGAACATTTTTTATGAATTAACTTGAAAATCAATCCCCAAATGCCATTAAATTTGTTACTTCAAGCATAGATTTCTTCCCTGTGTATTTTGTTATGTCCAACCATTTCCCCATTTCACTAAATTGTAGTTTTCATTTTCTTATAGCAAGCACATCAGGTACAGTAGAATGAGTCCAAATGTGATAATTACGCTGTTATTGATGGTGAAATATATTGACATAGAAACATTATCGTGTGTATTTCATTTCAGATCTGTTGTCTTCTTTCAGTTTCTACAAGTGCTCTTGGGATGGATGATATGTCCCTTAACCTTCTTTCTTTTGGCTTTTTACACCCCCTCAAATTCCTTGTTGCTATTTTGAAAGGCAGCAGTACTATTAACTTGTCATCCTCTTGCATGATATTTTGCAATTGAACTTGTACTATAAGCCATCATTCCTCTGCACTGTTGAAGGGAGGGAATCTGTGGAGGACATCAAATGTTTGCTGACTGAGACTGGACTTTTTTGCCCTCTTTTGTTTTGGTCATTAATAATGAAGGATTTCACAGGAAAAATGAATATCTTCAGGAAGTTGAATGCAGAATATAGAGAATCAGAGGGATGAACACAAAATATATAAGTGAATAGAGGACTTCAGAGAGGTGGGTACAAACAGAAAAGGATATGGGCTCATCAGATAGAGGGGTAAGAGATGAAGCTTTCATGCATCTCGATGGCCCTCAGCATCTTGGGTGGCCCACTTGTGAAGGATTTATGGTAGGAAATGGATAAGAGTTGCATAGGAGAAGTATGATGTATTGATCTACTCACCTCTTCCTTCTCTTGTAATTTGTTTTGACTTTTACTATAACGAGTGTATTATCTAACTGTGAAGACACTTGAATGTGAAATTAATCCAGTGCTTATAAACAGTTGGTTCCTATCAAGACCTTTTTTTTTCTTTTAAATACTGTTTGGTACTTGCCACTGCCATTGATTTCCAGTTCTCCTTAAAAAGGGTAGGCATAGAGCTTCTCAGTAATTTTTCAGGCTCTTTCATTTCTTGATCTTGAGCTATAGCCCAACTTTTTAATTTTTGTTCCATTTCTTCATTGTAGATGAAAGTCATTGAGTCCAAAAGTACACGTTAAATTCATTTGGAGGATCCCATCTAAATAGATTTTATTACTTCATCATCCTTCACAATAAATGTTGTTAAAATCTGTCATCTATGTGTTTATGTCTTGGAAACTGAAATGCAAGATGACTAAATGTCCCCTAAGAAGATGTTTCTTACTGCCTTTGTATATGTACTGAAATGAACTCAGCCAACTTCAGATCTAGGTTTTAGAGCTTGGAGGGAAATGAGATATTACCTACTCCAACTCTGTCATCTTAGAGATGAGAAAACTGAGGTCCTTAAAGTAAGAAGCCACTTGTTGTAAGGGCACACAAGTGATTATTAGTAAAATAGTCTTTCTACTACACAACACTGTTTGCAGTAGAACATTTAAATTGTTCTTCCATTTGGTGTATGTTCTTTGTGTCTTCTGATTTCATTTATAATGAGAATGAAAATACAGATAGTGTATTTCCTTCATCACTGTATCATCTTACTGGCCAAAGGTGTCATGTTTAGAGCATTAAAAATAAAATTAATATTTATAGTTGGACTAAAAACTGTTATTCTTAGCACCCTTTACCTCCTTTTGTATCATTCTGCTGCTGTTGAAGCAGAAGAGTGTAAATGTCATAGTTAACACTATCTTCACAGGGCTAAGGGACTGCATTACATTTTTCTTTGGCCATGGCATCCCCACCAAAAAAGTTCATTATTTAGTGGTGAATCTTGTGCTGCCCCTCTTTGTACTTAGCTCCACTAGTCCTTGGGCAGAAAACTGTATTCAAAGCCTTTCCAACTTGATGGAGCCTGCTAGAGTTTGTGTTCCAGTATCAAAGCCTCCAAAAACTCATCTCCACATTAT